TGTGGTGCTGGGTCTTTGGCACGGAGGCCGGCTTGGCACTGTGAGAGTTAAAGGCAAACCTTTGTTGTCTGTAGCTGCCAAGATGCAGTTCCTTGGCTTGGGGAGAAACCCGAATGACTCGGGATGGATTGATAGGAAGTAGCAAACACTTCGGACCGACGTTCCAGCTTCTCTGAGCTTCATCCTGAGCTACTCTTTTGACTGTGTAGGGGTGTGTTTGGGGCAGTGGGAGTTTCAGGTCAGATGTGAGATAAGGACAGGTGGGTGGGGTGTTGACAAAGACAAGTTACGTGAAGCTCGGAGTTGGTGTAGACCCAGGAGGTTTTGGTTCTGAGACCAGGGGTTCAGGAAAGAGCCAGGGCCTCCTCACGGCTGTAACCCAAACCAGGTCAGAACGCAAGAACGGTTTAAGGGCCCGGGTTATGTGGCATGGGCTGCTCCCACACTGATGGAGAAACACTGGCTGCTTGAGGGGCAACAGCTCAGTTTCTGGACGCAGGAGGGAACCAGTTAGGTCAGGAAGTATCAGCAGAGGGCTAGAAATGCCCGTCTTGGCCTGTACATACCAACTGGATGTGGATTCACTTGCACCCTCCATGTGTTGGCATAAACACCGTTTGATAGCTCCTCGGACCCGTCCCCTTCATCCCACCAGAGGACCGAACCGCACTGTCTGCCTCGGTGGACTTTGCCCAGACATTTCATGTGTTTAATTATAACACTTTCTTCCTAACCGGATTTCATATAAGAGTTCCTAGAAAAGGCCTGAGTCCTAGGCCTTTATTTTAAGCTTCACATGGGGAGCTGCTTTTTATTTGTTTAGTTTCTATTATTATTATTATTATTATTATTATACAAAGAAAGTATTGGATAGGAAGGAAGGAAGTAAAGTTTTAAGGAGCTACGTCAAGTTCTAAGTTTAGAATTCACATAACCAAAACCAAAATGGTTCTGCCTACATGTTTTCTCATAAAGCCAGGCTGTTTTTGTAAGGACTGTGGTCTGGAGACACGCTAACTTCTGAATGTTCACAAGGGAGACATTGCTCAGTACCTAAATCAATCAATCTCTTCTTGCTTGTGTCTTAAGCTGCCAGTAGATCTTCTCTCTTGAGCACCATACGTGCTTTACAAACACGCGTGTTTTTGCTGCATCCACACAACAGCCCTGCAGACGTAGGTATGAAGTGGTGTAGCTTAGGTAGATGAAGTCACACTGGCTAACACGTGGCAGGGAGGGACTCAAACCCCAAGAATCACTCCACAGCCCATTTTCTCTCCGTGTAATTTTTTTTTTTTTTAATTTTAATTTTTTAATTTTTTATTTCCATGTAGCTTGTATTTAAAGTCAATTTTGGGGGCACCTGGGGGGCTCGGTGAAGCATCGGCTTTGGCTCAGGTCAAGATCTCACGGTTCGTGGGTTCAAGCCCCGCGTGGGGCTCTGTGCTGACAGCTCAGAGCCTGGAGCCTGCTTCGGATTCTGTGTCTCCCTCTCTCTGCCCCTCCCCTGCTCATGCTCTCTCTCTCTCTCTCTCTCTTTTTCTCAAAACTAAACATTAAAGTCAATTTTTAAGAAAGAAATTTCCATTCTAGGCTCTTTACCCAAAACGGTCCACATCTCTGATTTGCAGATACGGTATCCTGGAAATCCTTGATAGGGATTGATAGCCTGTATCAGTCCGTTTAAAATTTAAGCTCGGTGGTTCCAGTCGCAAGGTCACACCGTGACATTTGCGGTCCAGATCCGCTCGTGCCACTCCCCATTTCCATAGAGCCAAATGCAGACTCATCGCATGGTTTACAAGGCTGTCGTCCACCACGTCCGCTCCCCCTCGCCACTGCTCTGATTTCTCAGATCCCTCGTGCTGTCTCTCACTCAGGCCCTTTACCAATGGCTATGTCCCCCACTTTCCTGCCCCCTCCAGCAATTTTGTGAAACCGTCAGCCCAGCTCAGAAAGCATTTCTTCTAAGAAATCACTCCTACCCACCTTCCAGTTGGGACTATGTGCCCTGTGCTGCCCGTCATAGCAAGACGCAAACTGTACCAGAATCTCTTGTTCGGTGTCCCTCGTGCTAGACGTGAGCCACGTGAGGTGGGGACGGTGCCTGTGTGGTTCACCAGTGTTTGCACACCACCTCGACAGGGAGCTTGCGTTTCCAGGGATAATCTTTTCCATCGCAAATAACGTAAACCCAGAAAAACAGGTGATTTATTCTCTTACGTAACTCAGAATCCCGGGAAGGATCTGGTTTTAATGAAACCACGTCCCCAGATGGTGTTGTCGGAGATTCGTCCCTCTCCATGTCTCAGCCGCTTTTTCCTCCGTTTTGGCTCGTCCTCGGGTAGGTGCTTCTCACGTGGTGGCCAGAGCCACCAAAGGCTCCAGGTTTACGTCCTACCCATTTGGCAAGCCAGCAAAAAGAGACTATCCTTTCCAGTGGCTGTAGCGTGAATCCTGGGGCAGACTCTCCTTGGCCCAGGTTGGGTCAGATGCCAGTCAATCGCGTGGCTCGAATTGACCGGGCCTTGGTAATGGATGGAAAGCAGCTTGGGGCGGGGGAAGGCCGTAGGATTTTTAGACCCGGCCAGTCAGCATCCTGAGCCCTTTCAGAACTGAGTAAGTGCCAAGGAGGGGTGAGGCTGAGCAACTCCACTCATTTCCCCCGCTGGCCTGGTTTTGAGAGCACCAGACGAGTCCAAGAGTGTTCAGGAAATTAGACAGCCCCCAGCCTCCCAAAGCTTCCTGTAGGCCCTAGAACAAACCTTGCTTAGTGGGAAGAGGCCCGGCTCCTCCCTCAGTGTGGAAGCGAGGCCGCTTTGGGCTGCTTCACCTCCTGGTGCAGAGAAGGGAAATCCTGAGCGGGCTGCCACATCAGCCATCAGCGGGCTGATGTGATGCCATCATCACAGGGTGATGGCCTCCCTGGGGACTCACTCCTGCAGCTCTGTTTGTGGCTTCTACATGGTAAGCCATCTAAGGGTAGAAATTATAAGTAGCTCGCCGTCTCCGGGTTTAGGATTTTTTTATGCTGTAAGTTAGTCTGTTAATTTGTTTGTCAGTTGGTTGTGGGGAAGACGTATATGACCTGAGGGTGAAAATGGGACCTGGGGGCTGCGGGTGTTTTTTTTGCAAAGGTATGTGCTGCCCTGCTTGGCCATCAGCTGCTCAGGGTCTCTGGGACATAAATAGATAGCGTGTTTACTTGCAGAGAAATGTGCCATTGGCCAGGGAAGAGACCGCTTTTCTTTTTCTTCCCCTGACTAAATTATCTGAGTGTGGCATAAAAACAAACACCGTGAGTTTATTGCAGTCTTTTCTCCCCCATTTGGTATGTTCCCTCCTTGATCTGACCTGATCGGTCAAGACTCTCTTCAGCATGGCACATGGACTTTGGAAACAGGCCCCCTTGGGTTCAGATCCTGGCACACGCGGTTACTAGTTGTATTTCTGCCTCGGTGAGATGGAAACCGAAGTGTCGATCTCCTTGGGTAGCCGTGCGGGTTACCTGAGATGAGAACCGAGAAGTACTGGAATTCAGAGGGCTGACACTGCTGCTTGGAAGGCCTCTGTGCCTGGAGGTCCCCGTGGCCGGGCCTGGCCTACCGTGGGCGGCCCCAAGTAAGAAGACGGGGGTGCCCTATGACATGCACCCAGCCGTTCTCAAGGAAGATGAAACAGCCATCGTTTCCAGGGGGTTATGGTTCTAAAGCTCATTGTTAGCAAATCAGGACCTTAAACTCACACTTACTTGGCCACTCGCCCACGCCTGTCCATGCCTGTCGAGTTGCCGGCAAAGAGTTTTTCAGTCTTTTCTCAGAATCTCCACGTGAATGCGTTTGGTTTTGCCGCTGGCAGAAGAGTACCCCAAGACTTTTAGCAGAAGTTTTGTGATCTCACGACGGGGAAGGTGGTGCATAAATCACTTAAGTACACAAAAAGGGATCGTGCCAAAACTGCTTTTCGGGATAGATAAACTCCAACAGTTACCACGCGGACTCAGTGATTTCCTACGCTGTTACTTTCCCCATTAACCCTAAGCACGGGCCCTTTGTGGCCTCTGCCCAGAGTACGTTGACCCACCCAGAGGTGGTTTGTGGTGGGACAGCCCTGGATGCATTCCCAGGCACTGCTCCTGCCCCTCCAGGTTGTCAGTCTTCTCCCCTGAGGTGTGTTTTTCGTTTTATTCTCATTTTTACCTTTTATTTCTGACTTTCGGCAGCTTGTCTTGAGGCCCAGATAACAGAAAAGATAACCTCACTCCCTCCGGAGGGACAGGACAGGCTGGGGGGGGGGGGGGGGGGGGGGGGCGGCGAGTCCATGGCACAGGGTCGCCCTGGGCTTCAGGAAGAGGGACTTTGCCCTGGCCAGCCCTGCCCCAGCCGAGCACGTGTTCTCTGTCCCACATCTGCTGTTTGTGTTTTAAGTGCAATGGAAGACTTCAGTCCTCCCATCAGTTACTTGACAGACGGCAGAGTTTAAGAAAGGGTCTTCATGCCCTCACACATCTTATTTCTTCACGAGGTCAGGGTTGGAGTTAGGAGTGTCCAAGGACCTAGCTTCAAAGTGACTCTTTCTTGGCACCCTGCACAGAGTAACGCTGCTCGGAGAGTGTCAAGTCTGACTTGTGCCTGAAAGGATCTTTGTTTTGGAGTAGTGCTTAGTCCTGAGTCGGGAGACTGTCTGCTGGGTTCAGGAATGCAGATGGGGCCTGACCCTGAGGCTGGGTCAGTTAATGAGCAAGCAACCCCCACCGGGCTGAGGTCAGAGGAGTTCTGTCGGCCAGCAGGCTTGGACTCCATCGACCAGCTGGCCCTCGAGGATTCGCGTGTTGAATAACAATCCTTGAGCGTGACTTCCTGGGGCCCCTCATCTTCTTGTGCTGAGTAGGTCTCCTGGTATGGGGGCTCTGGGGGGCAACTGCACGTTCGAGTTTTCACGTTGCATTACGGCCACGAGTATGTGCTGCAGTTGGCCGCAGTGTGCTTTTCTCTTTCCAGCATCCCAGTGCAACGTCAGCTTGAAGAAACAGAGGCACCGTGGCATCCTCAGCTCCTTCTTCTGCTGCTTCCGTGATTATAATGTGGAGGCCCCACCAGCCAGCGGCCCCAGTGTGCTTCCGCCACTGGTGGAGGAGAACGGTGGGCTTCAGAAGGTCAGTGCTGGAGGGGACCTGTGCATTCAGCAGAGCCCCAGGAGCTGCAGGTCTGTCCCCCCCACTGGTGAATATCCTGAATAAGAGTCTGGGATGGCATGTGTCCAGCCACTCACTGTACAGCTCTGAAATTTCCAAAAAAGATCATGTGTTTTGTCAGAGGATGGGTCAGTTGTTCCCATTTAGCAAACGGAAGAACATATTTGATGAGAGTTGGAAGAATCACTTCACATTTTTATAACATTCTGTCTTGGGAAGTCGGCTGCGTGAGATGGAGAGTTAAAGAACCAGTAGCAGAGAGAGAAATGGGAAGACAAATGAAGAAACAGAGGCATGGGAAAGAACCAATACTAAGTATAAATGGACTCAACTACCTTGTTTAATGACACACGTATTTATTACACATTCTTTTATATGCAGCAGATGAAAAATCCTAAGTCAGATTTTCACAGTACGTAAAGAAAAACTAAACTCCACCCACAGGCTGCCTAGTGGACGTATCTATCCTAAACAAAGCGACTCAGAACAGTTAAAAGGGTGAGTAGAAAGATATCAGGCAAGTAGAAGCAAAAAGAGAGCAGGGATTACAACATTAATCTCAGTCGAATTAGACTTTGAGGTAAGAATCACTGCAAGAAGCCAAGAGGGATTATTCACTGTGAAGACAGTTGAGATTTTGAGGACGCAAAACCCGTAAAACTTCATGTTCCAAATAATGTGAGCGAAGGACATGAGCAGGCATGTCACAAAATAGGAAAGATAGGCCAGTAAACATGAAAAAATGTCCAGTATGGCTGTTAATCAAAGAAAAGCAAACCAGTGTTGAGATAGCCCTTTCCACTTATCAAATTATTGAGGATATTTGTAAAAATATTTGGATTCGGAGGAGGGTAGTGACAAAGGGGTTAGACGATATAAATCAGTTATTTGTAGCCATGTTAATTGGTTACAACTTTCTGGAAGGAAAGTTAGCAATATAATCTTAAAGCCCTAGAAATTATTTATTGGCATAATTATGGATTATTGAACTACAACACACTGTCCAGCACAGATCATAATGTTGCAAAATTGTAAGCAACCTGATGATCGACAATAGAAAATAGAAAACCCATAGAATAAGCCTATACTCAAATAGTATGAAGCTATTAAAAATTGCCTCTCGTAGGGGCGCCCGGGTGGGTGGCTCAGTGGGTTAAGCATCCAACTTTTGATTTTGGCTCAGGTCATGATCCCAGGGTCATGGGATCGAGCCCAGTGTCGGGCTCTGCACTGAGTGTGGAGCCTGCTTATGATTCTCTCTCTCCCTCTGCCCCTCCCCCCCACTCATGCTTTCTCTCTCTCTGTCTCTAAAATAAATAAACAAATAGGGGATAAAAGACTTCAATGTAGCAGGTGAGTATATTTATAAGTATATATACATAGTCCTACATGCACACACAGGCATTCATAAGACTAGAATGATACATGCCGAAACATGAAGAGACTATCTCGTACTGGTGGGATTATGTATAGGATTTTCTCCCCTCTCCTGTGCTTCATTTCTTTCTCTCTTTTTTCTTGTAGCTTTTCCCAATTTTCACAAAATAAGCTGAAATTACTTTGGGGACTAGAAAGTAAATTATTTTTAAAGTACATATGAATGGAAGGAGAAGGGTTCTGGGAAGATGACAGCCTGGGCACATGGCTCTGACCGTTGAAATTCTCTCTCTGGATAAACCCGGTGAGCCTGCTGGTGGAATCCGGAAAGCGCAGTAAGGCTTCTGGTTTTCCTGACATCTCCAGGGGAAGGAGCAGGCGCAGGATTCATCCTCTCTGAGCCTCAGTGAGAAGCAGGAAGCCACCAACAGAGGAAAATGCTTGCCTCTCTTGGAGTCCTAGGACAGAGACTGGAAATGGATGGTCCCATGAGGTCCACCGGCCAGCAAGAGCTGTGGATCCCCTCGGAAAGGGCCCACACTACCCACTTGATGTGTGTGGTCCTTGGAGGGGCCGTACTGAGGAGCTGAATTGCTTTCACTTCTTGTGCCCTAAAGCAGCCCACTGGGTGCAGAGACTTTCTTCCTGTCCTTGTGGTTTGTCAGTTTGGTTTCTCTCCTGGACCGCAGAAACATTGCTCCTTGCCGGACCTGGCAGTGCTCCCTCGTTTGCCACTGTGGAGAAGGTCCAAGTGGAAAAAGTACACTGTGAGGCTCCCACTGAGGTAAAAGCAACAGAAGAGACAGAAGAGAACTTTAGTAGGCAACTCAGGAAAGGATACGTCAAGAAACGAATTTCGAGGACAAAAGTAACTTCTAGAACTTAAAAAAGAAATCCCATGATTTCTAAATATAAAAACTTAGTAAACAAACTGAGAAAAAGGAGAATGAGGATGGTCACTGCTGAGGCCGGAATTAATGTTCTAGAGCAAGTGGAGAAAATATCTTTCAGTTCAGACCAGAAACACAGAGATGATCGTTGTGGGAGGAGGGGGGAAGGGTAGGAAGAGGCATCGAGGAGAGCTAACATGCAAATAGGAGTGCCAGGAAGAGAAAAGCTAGTAGAAGGAATTTTTCTTGAGCTGAAAAGAAGTATGAATATGTAGATTGTAAGGGCTTTCACCAAGTAAGTATACAGTGAGATTAGTGGGGCAGGTTAGGGGAGCACACGCCTGGATGTGTGCTTTTGAAATTCTGAAATTTAGGGGCACCCGGGAGGGCTGGTCAGCTGAGTGTCCGACTTCAACTCACGTCCTGATCTCACTGTTCGTAGGTTCGAGCCCCCGCCCTGAGCTCTGCACTGACTGTGTGGAGCCTGCTTTGGATTCTCTCTCCCTCCCTCTCTCTGCCCTTTCCCTGCTCCCCGCCACCCCACTCTCTCCCTCTCAAAAAATAAATACACTTTAAAAAAAAATTCTGAAATTTAAGTGCGAAGAGGCAATCTGGCAAGCTACCAGAACGAGATATTTTCAAAAGAAAGAGAATTACAGCCGCACCAGACTTCTCATCAACAATACTGAAAGCCAGAAGACTATGAAAAAAATTTTTACAGGCTATTGAGAGAAAAGAATTCCAGACCAAAAATTCTATATGCGACCAAGATAGCATTTATCTGTTGAAGCAAAGGAGTGCATTTTCAGACATGTCATGATTCAGAGAGGGGACCGAAAGAAGCCTGGGTGAGATTGATATTCCGTTATGATACAATTATAGAAGACGTAAGAATAAGTACCACCTGTTAGGAATAGAACCGTACAAGCAGCACAGTTAGGAAATAGATCCTGAAAATTCACAAGGAGTGAAAGGAGAAATGGGCAGCAACGTGAGTAGGCCGTCAAAATTGAGAAAGGGGGAAAGGAACAAACATCAATAGTAAACCTAACATAAAGAGGAGGCATAAAACCCAAGTTCAGTGAACCAGATTCCCCTCACAAAAGACCACGACCATATCAGATTGGCTTGACAAATTCATCTGTATGCTGTTTCCAAGAATAGACCTGCATCAGATAGGAACGATTTTGGCAGCAAGGAAAAGAAAACTGAGAAATAATAGCTTAAACAAATAGGGGATTATTTTCTCACATAAAAAGCCTGAGTCTGGCAGTTGCCGGGGTTAGTTTAGGTGCCCGATGATGCCATCAGGGACCCGGGTTCTTTCTGTTCTTCCATCTTTCCATTTTTCCGCTCCACCTTCCTTGGCACGGTTGCTCTCATCCCCATGCTTGTTTATTATCCCAGAGTCACAGGCTTCAGACAGCATATCCACATCCGAGGGAAGAAGGGGGGGGGGGAGGAGTACCCCCACCTAGGCCGCTTGTGTGGGAAGTCAGTGCCCTCACAGAAAACCCCAGGGTACGTCTCCTTCTGTCTTCATGGCCAGAACTTTGTCACACGGCTACCCTCTGGCAGCAAGGGAAGGGAGGCCCAAAAGGGGAAGACTTTAGACTGGCATATTCCTGCCCTCCGCAGAATCAGAGCTCTCTCACAAAGGAGAAAGGAGAAATGACTGCTGAGTCAACGTGCTAGTCGGTGTGGGCTCGGTTAGGCCGTAGGCACAACCCCCAGACCTCAGAGGCTTCAAACGGTAAAAGTCTGTTTTTCACTCACGCTACACGTTGATCGTGGATTAGCTGTGGCACTTGTCCAGTAGATCTATAATGTGAGCCACCTGTGTTGTTTAAATTTTTCTAGTAGCCTCATTCTTTTTAAAATTTTTTTTTTCAACGTTTATTTATTTTTGGGATAGAGAGAGACAGAGCATGAACGGGGGAGGGGCAGAGAGAGAGGGAGACACAGAATCGGAAACAGGCTCCAGGCTCTGAGCCAACAGCCCAGAGCCCAACGGGGGGCTCGAACTCACGGACCGCGAGATCGTGACCTGGCTGAAGTCGGACGCTTAACCGACTGCGCCACCCAGGCGCCCCTCTAGTAGCCTCATTCTTAAAAATATTTCTTAAAAATTGAAATTGCTCTTAATAATACATTTGATTTAACCAAAGACCTCCAAAATATTATTTCAACATGTAATCAATAGAAAAAAACTATCAGTGAGATAAAATTTATACTCTTGTTATCTTACTAATTCTTCAAAATCTGATATGTATTTTATACCTATAGCGCATCTCAACTTAGCTCTAACCACCTTTTCACAGGGTCAGTAGCCACATGTGACTCATAGCTACCGCTATCAGATTGCGTAATGTAGCTCATCCTCATTCATGGACTTAGACTAAGGAAGGCCCCATCTTTTTTGCTTTCGTCGTTGCCATAGCAGGAAAAGGGAGTGTGGTGAATCACACTGGCTCATAAAGTCTTCACTCAGAAGTAACATGCCTTGGGGTGCCCAGCTGGCTCAGTCGGTTGAGCATCTGACTCTTGATCTCAGCTCAGATCATGCTCTCAGGGTTCGAGCCCCACATTGGGCTCCATGCTGGGCATGAAGCCTACTTAAAAAAAAAAAAAAAAAAAAAAAAAAAAAAAAAAAAAAGAAGTAACATGCCTCATTTTAACTTACATCTTCTTGGCCAAAGCAATTCACATAACTATGCTTAACTTCAAGGAGCATGGAAGTGCAGTCCTACCGTGTGCCCAGAAAGAAAACTGGAATTACTGTTACAGTAGATGACTAGTAGTTTCCGACCCAACGTCTAATATACGGTGGTTTTTAAAAGATGGAAAATAGATGGGCAAAATGGAAAAAGCAGATCCGATAACCAGAAAGCAAAGGTGACAAAATCAGTATCAGACAAAATTCGAGGCCAAAAACAAACAAGAGAAAGAGGGACGTTTTCTAATGATAATAGGTCTGATACATCAAGTGTGTAATAGCCATAACCTTTGTATACTAATCAACAATATAGACGAATATGTAGAAGAAAACCACTTAAATACGATAAAAAACTGTCTTCTAGAAATACAGGGTGCCTGGCCGGCCTAGTTAGTGTAGTGGGCGACTCTTGATCTCAAGAGTTGTAGCTTTGAGCCCTGTGTTGGCTGTAGAGATTACTTAAAAATAAAATCTTTTTTTGGGATGAGCACTGGGTGTTGTATGGAAACCAATTTGACAATAAATTTCATATATTAAAAAAATAAAAAAAATAAAATAAAATCTTTGGGGCGCCTGGCTGGCTCAGTCACAAGAGTATGTGACTCTTGCTCTCAGGGTTGTGGGTTCAAGCCCCACACTGGGTATAGAGATTACTTAAATAATATTTTTTAATAAAATAAAATATTTAATAAATAAATACAGCAAGCCACATGGGAAAATCTCTGGCAGTTTCTGGCTAATGTAAGAAGATAAGAAAATGAAACAATTGATATAAATATTAAAAACATTGGAGTTTAGCTTTATTTGCATATGACATGATTACTTACATAGAAACCCCAAAATACTTCAAAAAAATGGAATCATTAAAAGGTTTTGCTCTGGTAGCTCTTAGTTATGGAGAAATGTGTTAGGTTTCTAGATAGGACTTAAACTTGATATAGAAGAAATAATGTCAAAGAACCGCTGAGAACATTTTGGGAAAAAATCATGAAAAGATGACTTCCCTTAACCTTACTCTACATTGGTGTGGAAAAACCTATTCGTGGAATTTATATGATGAGATTCCACTGTAAACCCTGTTGCGGCCCCAGATTCTAACATGTTCCCTCGGTGAGCTTTCCTCGTACTCTCCGTCCCCCAATTTAAATCATTGCTTTAGAGAATCGCCATTAGCAAAAGGACCATCGTTGGTACCCTAGGCCTGTGAAGGATTCAAACAAAGAGAAGAATCACGGCTGTCTTGGTAAAAGTTTTAATTTAAAAATAGTATTTGCCTAGGTGAAATGGCATGGGAAAATTGTGGCATACCTCTGGCAGGTTTCTTGGAGTAGCTGGCTGTATATATGAGAGAATAAAGGCCTTTCAGGGCAGTTCTCTGGCAGAGCTAGGCTTACCCGGACTCAGTATTCATTCCTGGACTTCCTTCGCTTACGTTTGTCACAATTGCTTTTCAAAGAATTAACTCTAAGTAATGCATCATTTGCATTGCACTTACTATTCGGTCTGTAAGACCAGACCCCACAGAAAGAACCTGTCAAAGTGGGGCAGCTACTGCCCTCCGCCTCACTCAGCTTGGTCAGGACAACTGGAACACAGCCCAGGCACATTAGACGTGGAAGCTGGTTCTAGGCCCATCTCTACCGCTGGCCCCCAGCTCTCCCTGCCTCTTGGAACTCAGCATGCCAGAAGCAGAGAGAAGGCTGTGGACAGAGTGCAACAGGTGGCATCTAGGGTTCTACCCACATTACGTATTCGCTTTGTCCCGGAGAAATGCTTCAGCAGCAGTGGCCTAGAGTGGCAACCATTGCCTCCATCACAGTTACAACCTGGACCTGCACGCCAGTTGCCCAGAATAAAAGGGTGTGCAGCCCCTGACGAGAGGCAAGAAGAAGTCAGCGCCCAGGAGATCCCAGTGGCCCAGACCACGGAGGACTAATCAGGGAGAGGACAGAGGAGAGGGATTGCTGAACACCCCCTAATACGTGCATACCCCATGTGCGCGCGCAGACTTCCGGGGTGATTTTCCAGCCCAAACATCTGTCCAGAATAGCACCTTCGGTCCTAGCCTGTGTTTTGCCAAGCCCTTCAGGTATTTGCTGTTGTTATCTCTTCCTTCACTGAGGTGCTCATCTTGTCTGAAGGTACACCTGTGTGTTGGGCTGTTTGTAGCCTCCCACTAGTGCAGTGGTCCTCACTTAGAGATGATTTTGCCCCCTAGAGAACATCTGACGGCATCTAGAGACATTTTCGATTGTCGCTCCAGGAGTCCTACTGGCATCCGGTGGGTAGAGGCCAGGGATGCTGTGGAACATCTTACAATGCTCAGGACAGCCCTCGCAGCAAAGAGTTACCAGGCCCAGAATGTCAGTAGCTCCAGGGTTGAGAAACTCTCCTCTGTCGTGACCCAGCAGGCTTGTGAGCTTCTGCTTAAAGTCTCCCCACCAAGAGCAGCCACCTCCTAGATCCAGATGTTGGGAGTAATATTACTTAAGAGCTTCTGAAGTGAACTTCTCTGCAGAAGTTCTTAAAAATGGATTCGATTTGATTGCACCTTTGTGTTGGAGAGCAGCACAGCTCTGCCTTGAATAATGGCAGAAGGCAGTTTAGGATCCTTATGGCAAGCCCCAAGTGTCCTGAAAAAGGAAAGAGCCAGCAAGAGGATCTCGAGAGGAAACAGGAGTTGCTGTTACTCGGCAGAGGTGGTAACTAGGGCTGCAGATAATCAAGAAGTTGCTAACTGGTGTTTAGAGTCAGAGCAGAGCCCAAAGAGGTGCCAGCCACCTGCCACTGTCAACAATCTGGTTTGACCCCTTCCCATGAGACCCTGGTCACAAGCCACGCCCTCAGTAAAGATGGATACACTTTTCACAATAGTTCCATGTGGGAGACCAGGAAACAGTCTCATATCTCCTCATCGGGAACTGTGATGCTGGTATTTATTGCCTCCCATCCTTCCATCTAAAAAAGAAGAAACAGAAACTGGAACTGCTCAGTGGAGATAATGGAGAAGAAGTGTTATTTTGTTAGCATTTATTAATGATGCTAAAATAAAATGTTTTGGAGTGCCTGGATGGCTCGGTCGGTTAAGCATCTGATTCTTGATTTCTGCTCAGATCATGATCTCACGGTTTGTGAGTTCAAGCCCTGCATTGCACTGACAGTGTGGAGCCTGCTAAGGATTCTGTCTCCCTCTCTCTCTCTGCCCCTCCTGTGCATGTGCTCGCTCTCTCTCAAAATAAATAAATAAGCTTAAAAAAATAAAAATGAAATGTTTCCCTCAACCGGGTTTGGAATGGCTGGCATTCCAGGGCTGCAGAATGGGTGAGGCCCCACTTTGAGGCCTGAATTTTCTTAACACTCCCTGCAAATACAGGTTCTGTTCCCCTTAAAGGGGACTCTGTCTCCATCGCTATGGCTCAGAGGGAATTTCTTGTGCCTTGCCTTATCCCCTCTGTCCAGTCCTCCTCTAGAAGAAAACCTGGAGTGACCAGGGGATTCCTTATAATCTGATAAACTAGTCTTCCTTCCTCTACATATTGTATTGACTTAAGGCTTAGTCTTTTTAGGGAATAACTAACTTAAAAACAAGAAATAAGGCAGTTACTAGAGGGATTAATGGATCAAAGTAGTACGTGGGCTTTTGTTTTTATTTTTCAATTAAGGATTAAATTCCTGGGAGTAAGGGAGGCACCATTTAAATAAGCAAGATTAGGGGCACCTGGGTGGCTCAGTCGGTTGAACGTCTGACTTCGGTTCAGGTCACGATCTCACCCTTTGTGGGTTCGAGCCCCGCCTCGGGCTCTGCTGTCAGCCTGGAGCCTGCCTCACATTCTGTATCTCCCACTTTCTCTCTGCCTCTGCCCTGCTTGTGCTCTCTCGCTCTCAAAAATAAATAATAAACATTAAGAAAAACATTTAAATACGCAAGATTAATGAGCCTCAGGAACCCAGCCTGGTTTGTCAGGGGTGGGGGTGTCTGGGAGGCAGAGTGGAGCCCAGTGCCCTAATTGGGAAATCGTTGGGTTCCTCCTGTTCATTGAACACCACCACACCAGGGTGCAGAGGACAGGAAATCATAGGGCTGCCGTACTCAAGAGTGCTTTGAAGTTTCTTTTGAGTATATGATCTGCTTACTTCTCTTCAAACCTGACAATGATTTCTTTTTTCTTTTTCCTTAGGGTGACCAGAGGCAGGTCATTCCCATACCAAGTGTATGTATATTTATCAAATTTTATTTAAACACGTGTAGAATCTTGTAGCTTTGGGCCTACTAATATAAATGGTTATTTAAATGTTCTTGCATACATTGAGTTTTAGCATATGGTACAAACAGCTCTGTTCTGTTGAAAAATGAAGCTACATTTTAAACTGTGAGTAGAAGGTTTCTCAAGAACAGCAGGACAACCAGCATCTAGTCACCAAATTCTCACCTTTCCTTTCTTTCTGCGAAGGGCCTCCAAGCTAAGGCGCCCTGCTGCCCTTCCCCACCCCCAGCACCTCAGCCCCAGCTCCATAGACTGGGAGAACAAACTTTTGCCCAGACGTAGGATTCTGCAGCAGGCTGTGTCCCAGAGGGCTCCTCCAGCCCATGTCCTGGGTGAGCAGACCGTTTATGATTTACTCAGCAGGGTCAGTAGCTTGGCCTTGGCTCTAAGATCAGAAAAAAATTGCCCCCATTGTATTCCCTGAACTTGAAGCTGTTCCAGCTGGGCACTCCTGTGGGCCACCATTTCTCTCTCCAGCCTCGGAATCTGGGAGAGGAGCCCCACCAGTGGTCAACGTCAGCACGGGCCACCCCTCAGACATCCACTGTCCCCACTGTCCCTGCTCTTCCTCCTGCTCTGACAGCAAGAGCCATTTAGCCTGAGGCTAAGCCGGCAAGAAACAGACCAGTGACCGACTCTCCAAAGAGACTTGCGCCAGAGATGTCCGTATCCAACAAGACCTTTTAAACAGTCCTGTGTCCTTATGGAAGGATTTAGATTTTAAAAGATGTCCATAAATTGATACTTTAATCCCTAAAGAGTCTCTGATTCAGATTGTTTGATTCACATCTGTGCATCTAACTTTCCTTGGACTTTTTTATCTCACAGAGAAGAATGGATTTCATTAGTACAGGTTGACTCCAAATTTGGTAATGAGTGTCACTTATAAACTAATAAATTGCCCCCTAATTTTTTGATAATTCCATTTTTCTCAGGACTTTAACTCTCCATTGATTAACAAGTTTCAAGGGTTTGTGGAGTAGTTCTGACTTCACCAGCATGCCTGGAAGTCAGGCTTTGTCAGGAAGACCGACTTGATTCAAAAAGATTGATCAGGCAGCAGGGCTTCTCAGCCGGTGTTTGAGTAGGATACCCAGTGGGATTGTTACCAGAGGTCTCCTTTTAACCGTTATGCAAAGTAATTTCATACATTTCTTCCTACAAGATACCTACATCAAATGCGTGACAGGTGCCACCTCTCCCCCTTCCTGTGATACTCCCATAGCACTGGTTTTTCTCAAAGTTCATTAAGTGCCAAACCAAGCATTTGTCAGGGTAAAACTCTGCCGCGGAAAATGACCCTTCCCCCACAAATCTCAACACATTCTAGAATCCCAGAATGAAACAGCCAAGGGGAAAAAGATCCCTCATATAATTTAGTGCGGTGTTAGATCAATACACTGCTGGCTCCTTCCTACAAATAAGAGTCTAGGTCAGGCCTCGTGAATCTCTGAAATATCTTGCAGAAAAACAAAGCCTAGCTAAAGTAACTTGCATCATTGAGTGAGAGCTTCCAGAAAAGCAGTCTACCGATGGGCATGCACAACTGAACCTAATTCCATCTGGAGTCCAGTTCAGCCCCAGGATTCGAGACTTGGGATCCCCTGCAGAATCTGTACGCACATGGCAAGGCCACAAGTCACATAAATGAAATAGCCGTGCCCTTTCTGGATCACAGGGGACCTGGTGGGTGCCGGGAGCCCCTGTGAGCTTGGGGTGCCGTACTGTAGGGCCAGAAATCCAGGCTTGTGCTGATCCCAAACCAGGGCCTACAGCCTCCTGAAAGCTGTTTCCAGGCCCTGAAGGTGAAAGGTACCCCTGAGCCTGTGGGTGCCCAGTGTAGTTCTGGCTGGAGCCCACTCCCCCCCCCACCCCCACCCCCACCCCCGCATCTCTGCTTCCCACCATGCCCCTCTTATTTCATTGTCATGCTACTCTCTTAATGTGTGCAGCTTTGGTCTTTTGATTTTTTACTAAGCAATAATTCAAGCTCAAAGTTTTGAAAAATACTGTAAGAATAAAGCAGAAAGAAGAAAAAAATCTCCCAACATGGGCCTAATCCCTGAAATAATCACTTTTAATATTTGTTATGTATCCTTCCAGAAATTTTCTAAATAAACACAACCATATTCACACAAATGAGAATTTTGCAAGGTATTTTTTTGCTTTAAACAATATACTTTGAACATCTTTCCAAATATCAGTGCATAGTGATCTGCCTCATTGATTTACTCGTCCTTGATGGCTTTTACTTTGTTTCTACTTCTCAACTATTACTAATACTTCTCTTAGGAATATTCTTGTGCACGTATGTTTATGGACTTGAGTTATAATGTCTGTTGTGATCAGTTCCTAATTGTAGAAATGCTAGATCAAAGGATATAACTTACATCTTGGGTAGATTAAAGCCACGTTGTCCTCTGAAAGCCTAATTTACATTCCCACCAGGAGTGTATGGGATTGCCCATTCCCTTATCAGAAATGACAATAATCAAATATTTAGTTTTTGCTGATCTGTGAGTAAAGAATAGTGTATCAATTCATTGCTTTGATTTGCATTTCTTTATGAATGAGTATGAACATCTTTTCACAAGTTTATTGTCCATATGTCTTTCTGCCTCCCTATTCATTTCTTTTATACTGTTATCTTTTTAATTTCAAGGAAATTAGGACTTTCCCCCCAATTTGTGGTATATCTTTTGGCCTTGTTTATAATCATTTTGGCCACAAAGAAGTTTAATTTTATACAGGCAAATGTTTTAATCTTATCCCTTATGGCTCCTGGTTTTTTATGTCACACTTAGAAAGATCTCCCCACTCTATGACTGTGACCCATATTTTCTCCTAGCATTTTAATGGTTTTATCTCTACACTTAAGTCTGCGATCCATCTGGAATTCACGTTGGGGTAAGGCGTTAAGTAGTGATCCGGCTTTATGGCCTTTTCTGAGTGGCAAGTCACATGTCTCGACACTATTTATTGATTAATTCATCTTTTTGTTCACCTGTTGAAAACGACATTTTTATCTGGACTTGATGTTACAACATTCCGCTTAGTAACGTTTGTTGCCCAGCCGTCAGCTGGGATTTGGGGCCCTCCACACATCTTATTGGAAGCCTCGTGGGCTATCCAATAATAAAAGTCAGGTAGTAAAGGATAAGGAAAAGAAGCAGAGGGCCAGCTTTAGAATCCCCTGAAGTTTGGGTGGCCTTGGCTGAAGGTGAGAGTTCAAATGCTTTGGCCCCAGCAAGGAATGCGGAATGTGACTGGGGCTGTGACCCGATTCCTCCCATTGCTGCTCTTGGAGGAATCTCACTCTCGATGCTCACGATGCTCACGGTGCAAGGTTGACAGTGTAGCTGAGTCACGATGGTGCGAGAGGAGAATAAGAGGAGAAATGAGTTTTCTAGCAATTACATTTCTGCTCTGTGTGCCTAAGCCTGTTAGTAAACAGTAGTATACTTTTTTCCCACCAAACCTTATGGAGAACCTATCGGCAGAACGATTATGATTAAAAATGGTCTAGAGTTTCCTTCGCCTCCTCCCGCAGAAGCCCTGAGATCTCTGCCCTCAGCTCTGAGGCTTGGGGAGCACAGTGTGCAGACTGTGAGCCTGGGACTCTTATGTGCAGAAACCCCAGTCTAGTGTGCCAAGAACGTTTCCGCCTCTAAGACCTGTGAGGGTAAGTGGGATGCGTGCCCCGGGAACCTGAGAGTTAACTATTCATGGCTGCCAGTTCACTACCGAGGTTGGAAAATTCCAGATCTTCTCCCAAGAAGAGAACTGGAATGAATGCCCTTCCTAAATCTCAGAGGGCAAACCAAGGTTCCTTCCCCCCCTCGGCCCCCCCCCCCACATTTTTGCTCCCTACCCTCACCCTCTCCATCCCCCTGGCAGTGTCCTCCGTGTACTTTGGAGCAAGAGGTTTGTATGAAAAGGCTCTTCTTGATGTAACTGGTGTCTCTCTTGTTCTCCAGTTTTTTGACGGCCTGGGAGAAAATTTGCCCCAGGACGTTTTTAGTTAATAATTCAAGCATCACCTGAACAGATCAATTGAAGTAACAAAGCACTATTGCAACTATATAGTGTCCTTGCGTGTTCCAAGGACACAGCTGTCCAGAAGAATTTTTACCAGTGGTCTGAGGAATTTGCATTAATCTAAAGCCAAGCTCTCAGAGAAGCTGTGTGTGTTCAGGAAGCGGGGCTGAGGGTTCCCATTGTCCCCAGCCCCGCCTTGTTCTCTGCAGCACAAATGCTAAATCAGTAGCTTACTTATGAGGAGTGTCACCCTTCTCCCTCTTCTCTCTCTTCCAGTAGTACCTGAGGTCTTTTCTGTCCTGTTAACTCAGAGAGTGCTTGCAAAGTGTGGGTTAAATATGCTCAGAAAGTAATTTTTATTCTCAGGTCCGGAAAATAACTGAGCCGCTTTTGGCGGATCTTTGACGTTTTCAGATCTGCTAGGGATGGAATCATTTCCATCCCTAGAGCCTTATTTCCCAGGCGAGCAATTACATAAAGTTTAAATGTTGTTTTAGTATATAAATGCATAGAGACTGGACAGACATGCACCGAACTGAAAAGAGGGGCACCCGGGAGAGGAATGGGGAGCAGGGAAAAGGAAATAGTTGTCTCTTGCGTGTCTGTATTCTTTACAATGAGAATGCGTTTTTATTACATAATCGTGTGATAAGAAATTACATTTTATTCTGGTCACAAGCAGGCTTTCTGCTATGGCCCAAACAACAGAAATAGCTCAAACCCTCTTTATTATGTTCACTTACAGAGCTCACCATATTCTGCCTTTTTGAAACACTGAATACAAAACTTCTTCTTGCGAGTTTATTGTAATGTTTCTAGCACCCTGCTTGCTTGCTGATATATAGTGAAAGACAGAATCCTTTTTAGGACCCTGAGTCCCATGTCCCATGGCCAAGGTGCATCTCCTCCCAGTGCTACTGGGAGTACTGGGGAGGGAATACTGCTTGGTAAACTTTAATTAGAGCCAAGGGAGTTGGGAGGACGTGAAGGCTTTTTCTTCTAGATGATGTTGGACAGGAGAAACACCCACTGGAGAGAGCCCCTATCGAATTAGAATCACCACTCAGCCCTAGACCAGTTGATCGTCACGCTTGCAAATTTACCTACCCGGTTGACTTCCTGTGTTCCGTTCACTAGTGAACCAGCTAAAGTCCAAAATTAACCCTGGATCTTGACTAATATTCACCGTAACCTCCCGTCTCCCCTCCTCCAAAAAAGGAGATAATCCATTCAAAAGGGAATACTTCTTGATTTCATTTTTTTCTTGTTTTGTTTTAGGGTTTGTTTTGATAAGCTAAATTTTCTGTTCTTCAGTGGCTAGGGACACAGTTTTTTGTGTGTGTTTTGTTTTGCATTAAATATTGAACAGAGTTTGACCTTCTTCCAGGAGAGAAAATTAGCTAGTTAGCATTGGGTACGGAATATGCCACAAAGTAAACTAAAGTACTTGGAATCACTTCTAGAATGAGGCAAAACCCAAAGAAATAAAACTCTAAATCACGAATGACTTTGGCTGCCGATATCCAGCAGCTTATTAACTCTTTACAACCTCTTTACCACAAGATTAGAGTCAGCTACTACAAAGACATAAATAGGTTTTCTGATCCACAAACACCATGTGGATTAAAGTATAACCTCCATAGGGGCGCCTGGGTGACGCAGTCGGTTAAGTGTCCGACTTCAGCCAGGTCACGATCTCACGCTCCGTGAGTTCGAGCCCCGCGTCAGGCTCTGGGCTGATGGCTCAGAGCCTGGAGCCTGTTTCCGATTCTGTGTCTCCCTCTCTCTCTGCCCCTCCCCCGTTCATGCTCTGTCTCTCTCTGTCCCAAAAATAAATAAACGTTGAAAAAAAAAAATTAAAAAAAAAAAAAAAAAGTATAACCTCCAGAGACTAAGGATCCAAGGGGTGAGTGCTACCTTCACTCAGTACTGCAGTGGGGTGGACACAAGTCAGGGCCCTGTACCTGGACCACTTTTATTTCTGTTTTCTATTATTGGAAGTCCTTTTGGATTGCGCTTTGCTGGTGGATCCATAGGTCCTCTTCAAGTTTCTGAAAGTTGTGGTCGTTAAAACAAACCAGCAAAAAACCACTACGGTTCCAGTATAGCTGTAAAATGTACTTCTATACCACAGGGAACTTCAGACAAAAACGATCCCCAGGAAATGGGCCTGTGTAGTTAGAATAGCTAATATAATTGAGTATTTATTTTGTGTAGCCCATTTTAATAATAACAGTAGCCACATGTATATACCAGGCAGAACACTGGGCATTTTACCAGTTACAGCTGAGAGCAACAGCCTTCCATGGTAGGTAGTACTATCCCAATTCACAGCCAAGAAGAGATAGATCTGATACTCACACCCTGACTTGTCTGGTTCCAAAACTGAGGCCCTCCAATAGCCATTCAGATAACGGCACATTATTTATTAAAACTTCACTTGTAAACTACGTAGTCCTACTGTTTTTAATAACATCCCATGATGTGCTTAATCGGGCATTTACATGTCTGATCTCATTTGTAACCTCGCTGACAACATGATACGGCGATAAGGGGATTGATTGGTTGGTATGTCTTCTACATAAAGGTAATAATACTGATTTTTTTTTTTTTCACTTTAGCCACCAGCTAAATACCTCCTTCCAGAGGCGACGGTGCTTGACTATGGAAAGAAATGTGTGGTCATTGATTTAGATGAAACATTGGTGCACAGTTCATTTAAGGTAAATCAACATAAAAAGCAATCCATAACCTTTGTGATTTTGGTCACAGTGTGTTGGAAAAGGAAAAATAGAAAGGATGACATCACTGTTCATGAAGAAATCCCAGTAATAGTTGCTTATTACCTCCGGTGAACATTAACTCGAGTAGTTAAATACTACCTACTTAGTTTGGCGGGAAATGCTGGGCTGCCGGTGTCACCGAGACCCCATTCTTACCTATGAGGTTTGAGTTTTCCAACCCTCCAACCCCTGCAGAAATACTTCTCGGATGGCAAAAGGCAATCAGTGTGCCAGTGCCCCAGGACACCACGGTGTGTTTGTGAAGGTAGCTAGAGTGGTGTATGTCTTATTGGAAGGGGCAGGGGAGGCACTGTTAAAACTGTCAAGCAACCTGCTGTCTTGGAAGTTTCCCCAGACCAATTTTTGAAAGATGTCCAACCCTGAAGAAGACTTCCAGAGTTACGGCCTCTGAGCAGGTTCAGCCATTTGTTTTGAGCTTTTTCATGACAGGAGGTAGCTGGGCTTTTTTTTTTTTTTT